TCCTTTCTAGGGTATAGCTGGTTCCCCGGCTACTGGTACCTGGAGACAGCATGCGGTTTTTGGTCGGTTCGAGTCCGACATAATCACCCAATAGTGGGTGGGATCCGAGTTGAGTTCCGCACAGAAAAAAAAGGTAAATAAACTCTACAAACACAGTGCCTTATGAAATAACAAAAGCAATAGTTAATGAGACTGAAAAATAAAACACAATTAAGATTCGTGTTAGGCGCATTCAGCCTGTTGCACGAGATGTTTTAGACACATTTAAATAACCAGAAGGCCAATTCTCATAATACGAGTAAAAGTTCAGTTCCGATCAACCTTCGATCTCAAAATTATCATAAAAGGTATTTTAAGAGTTTAAAGTTTTAATAAGACTAGGAGGTTACCTATTCAATTTTCGGTTACAATACGATATAATCACATTAGCGAACGTTGGATATTTAATACTTTACTACAAAAATACCCATTATGACAGTTTTATTATGAGAATTAGCCTTTAGATCCTTACACATTTATAAAAATTAATTTTTATATAAGGAATTGTTTCCATGTTCGTATGGTGACGGATTAAGAATACGGAGAGACACTATCCCTATTCATCCTGTGTCGTAAGAGCCGATTAAGATGATGATGATGATGAGTGATAATTATTTTTTATTAACACTAAAAAAGTAACAAGTAAATAAGTCACATATGCTTCAGCACACGTCTCTTTGTTCGTAGCAAAAGACACTACCGTATTTTTAAGTATGGAAAAAGCCGTTAATCCTGCAGATTCAGATCAGGATAATCGGCCAAATTCATCAAATTATTGTATTGATATCGGTCCTCGATAAGTATGCGAAGTTTTAAATCAATTAGACGTCTTGAATTGTACTGTAGTGGTAAATGGTAATGTTTTATCTTTAATAGGAATACCTAAGATTATTATGACGGCCAGTTAGCCTAGTAGTTAGTGGCTGTTAAGCCGGTGGTCAATGGTTCTATTCCCACCCAGGAAAAATAGTAGTGTGATGAGCACAATCATTAGTTATCCGACGTCTGGTTTCCAAAGCACAGGCTCTACCTAGTTTGGGATCAGATTGTTGTGTGTGAGATGTCTCTAGTTACTATTATTAACGCTAAATAATATAATAATTTGAAGACCGGATGGCGTAGTGGTTTGTGTAATGGACTGTTATTCCTAAGGTCGCGGTTTCGATTCCCGCTCAACTCAAACATTTGTGTACATGAACATTTAATGTTTGATTTGGTCTGGGTTTAGTAACTATGAAAGGCGTTAAGTCATGGACGGCATCAGCCGTCTACTTTTTTGATCTGAAGCCAAATTGGGCTTGTGCTAGTAAATTGTTAATTTCCAGTTACTGTACAAGTCGATGGTTTATAAGCCGTTCTAATTTTTTTATCAAAGTAGATAAAATAGAGATAGGCCTATAATTATTGACACAGTCTCTGTCACCAGCCTTGTAAATCGGACAAATTTTAGATTTTTGAGAGCTTCTGGGAACACCCCAGACGAGATCGGAGCCCATATCCCCACTCCCGCTACTCGATCGGGAGGGACTCCAAGGGCGGTAACGCACCTGTGACTTGTTGCAGGTGTCCTATGGCGGCGGTAGTTACTTACCATCAGGTAGCCCGTCTGCTCGTTTGCCCCCTTATACCATATAAAAAAAGGGGTAATAGGGTCCGTAAGTATGTTAATATTATTTTTTAAGTAGGTACATCAGCAGAGATACCGTCTAGGTCCACGGCACAGTTTGCCTTAAGACTTTTGATAAGAGAATGAACCTCTTTGAGGTCTTTTGGTGGCATAATAAAGGAGTGTGGGTAAGTTTTTAAAATGTTTGGTTGAGCTTCAGAGTTTCTTTGATTTTTTTTAGCTAAATTTTTGCCAATGTTTGCAAAGAACATTATTTTTAGTTAATTTCGGATTTTGTTTATCTATTAATTCTGAGGTAGTTTGTTTATATTAGGTAGTATACGTGTTTTTTTTTAATTGCGCTAGTAACAAATAACATATTTCATTGGGGTTATCCCCACCTCCATTTATTATACTGTATTTAGCAGCATAAAAAGGTGAAATGGCAGGGAATAGACAAATTCAATTTACCTTTATTTTTTATTTGTTGACAACATCACAGCTGCACCACTATTAAGATTCCAAAGCGCTATTCCAGCACTATTACCTGTAATAGAATAACTTAGTTTTATACTGTACTTCTAAAAATTATTATAACGTAATCTTATTTATGTAAACAATATTTAAAAATCTATTTTTACCATGTATTTTCATAACCTTAATTTTGATGTACTTAAAAATTAGATGATAACATGAGGGAGTGAGCTTCACAGACAACCGATGTGATACAATTCTATCACTCCAATTGATTGAGGTTACCAGAGACCCGAACCTTCCCCTCTTATTCTGGAGAGTCTCTAAGAGCGCAACTAAATTGTCCATATTTAATTGCTGGAGTTCATGGGTGGAGGTTGTCAAAATCAGGTGTCCCATCTGCTCTACCAGAAAATAAGCTCATTTATGGTTCAGCCGTCAGAATCATTAACAAATAAAACTTAGAAATAAAAAGACGAGGTAGAACTCAAACCTTTTCCTCAGATAATACTCCTTAGTAAAAATTGCTAGCGCAGTTTCCGCACTGAGAATTTAATGTCAATCAACACATAATCCTTCTAATCGTCAAATCGTTTTATCAATTTTGTCACGACGACGTCTACAAGTTTCGAATAATTGATGATTTTGAGGACGGACATTTAATTATTCAAGGCAAGTTAGAATCATTTTATTTTACCTACTCATAATAATATATACTCACAGCTTTGTACTTCATTTCTCTACAGCGAAGCGTTACAGGGTACAGCTAGTATTTTATGTATCAGATCAAAAACGTGTAAAGTCGAGAACGCGATTTCAAGTCGTGAAGATCATGATAGACCAAATAGCAATATTTAATTTCAAAATTTCAAAATACATCCCTTAATAATGACTGCACGGCGTAGTAGTTTAAGCGGTTACCTCGCCGGTTCCTCTTGCGCTGAGTGTTTTGGGTTCAATCGCACTTTGTGTGATCCGTAAATTATTGTACTAAGTCGTGGTGTTCTTTGTGGCCGAGTTGTGAAAGTGCGTGAAGTCCCCTGACAAGATATATTCCTAGTACGGGAGTTGCACGTAAAAAATAAATAACAAAGATTGTTTCTATGGGGATTAAGAAAGTCGAAGCAGGTCTGAAAGTGAAAACACTGGAGTGCTTTCGCTCAAGAGCTTGACCGCACTCATCCAGTCTCTTTTGTGTTTCACTAAATAAATCATAAAAATCCAAATTTAAGATGAGGATCAACACTATCACTGACGATATCTGTGATCCCGGTTCCTTCAAACCAGCCTGTCAACTGCAGGGTATACTAAAAAGGTAATCTATTTACTTCACAGTGGAACACTAAAAGCCCAATTATGTCTGTCTACTCGTCTAGTTTTCAAGAGGGTGAATATATTCCTATGCTGAAGAAGAACAGGTCAAAATGTATATTCATAGCAGACGTTATAGTCATACAGTGTAAGTTGCCTTCTCTCCAAAAGAAATACCTTATAATTGGGTTTAATTTTTTAGTTTAACTCCTTATTTAAGGGTAAATGAGCAGGCGGGTCATCTAATGGTAAGTGAGTACCGTGCAGACGGGTTATCTGATCTGACTAATATCATTTAATCGTAAAAAATGGGGTGTTTTTCATGATATTTTATAATAAAATAACTTTACTTTTACCAATATCTGTCAATAAAATATTTTTACAACAATTGAGATATAGCACCCCACGCATTTTTAAGATAAAATGATTTGTATTTTTGAACTTATAGAAAAATATTTACAAAAGCGTGCTTTTGTTGACTATAATTTATTAAAAGTTACTTAGACAGTTTTGCTACAGGCAATATATTACGTTTATTGTAACAACAAACAAAAAGTAAATAATAACTTTTCTATCTCAAGGTGTTGCTGTTTTCCTTGGGTCAACTACCATCCTAATCTGTGTTTGGACTCCCGACTCAGCTACAATGGACTATGATAAGCTAGCACGCATCATGTACCTCTTCGACTCCCAAGCTTGTGGGTACAAACTGAAGCTATCGAAAGGCATGACCAATCTCTATTTCAGCAACGATACGAAAGGATTCAGCAGTATTCTACCTATTCAGTGGACGGAACTTTATACTACAGTGTCCAGCAGATTAACAGCCAAAACTAGATTGTAAGAACATTTTATTTGTATTATCGTTGGAAAGACATTTCCTAGGGTACCAAATGAGTAGAAAGGTACCGCTACCCGTGGACATCCGCAACAAAAAAGGCACAAATGGAAAGGCTCGAATAGAATAATACCATAACCTCACAGAAATGATGCTGGAGCCCCCTCAGATTTAGAGGGGCTTTAGGACTTGTAGGGTGGCAACACACGTGTAACTCCCTTCCCATTTGTGCGTCTTTTGTTGCGGATGTCCACGGGTAACGGTACACCCGCGGAAATCGGCAAAAAAGTAGACACAAATGGAAAGGCTCGAATCGAATAATACCATAACCTCACAGAAAACTGGAATTCTTTCGGTGGTTTTTACCGAGTGAGTGAAGTTACCAGAGCCCAATGCCTTCCTCCAACTGATTCTGGAGCCCCCTCAGAGTCAGAGGGGCTTTAGGACTTGTAGGGTGGTAACACACGTGTAACTCCTTTGTTGCGGGTGTCAAGGTGGTACCCGTCTGCTCGTTAGCGGGGGCAAGATACAGAAAATATTTTTACTCTCTATTTCATCGCTTACTTTATTTCCAGGTATATAAAGCTGAGTTTATCCCTCCACTGCGTATGGTTAATAATTGCTATTTTAACCAGACTTTTCTCCAACAAAAGTATCCATCTCCGATCATTGAAAGGTATTTTAAGCGTGTTCTTCTATAGCTGTCTTGCTATGGTTATTTTTGATATATCCATGGCTCTTCTGTATATCTCTCATATCAAACAAAGTCTAAGCAAGGGTATGATCCTGAGGTACAGTGGGTGGAGCAGCAATTTAAAACTGAACAGTTATGATGAATTTGGTGGTTGGCTGCCTCTTCTGGCTTCCTGCTGTTGGTTAAGAGGAATTATCATTTTTGTCTTGAACATCTACTGTACCAGATCACTCATGCTCATTAGAAGGAAGATCAGGAGAAGAGAAATCAAAAGGAAATATGAGAATGAAAGGTATAGAGCCATTCCTGATGCCAGGCCAATACATTCTGCACTTAATGCCATGGTGTATCGAGAAGGGGAACTTGAACCTAGAATATTTTAATACGTAATTGGATTAAATAATTTTAACATTAGGGTTAGCACTTGAAGTATGTCGATACTGATTTATGTTTTATAATTTACCGTAGGCAAGGTAGTTCTAAGCGACTTATTTCAACATGTATGGAGTTCAGTTATGATTATTTACATATACATGCAATTTAGCTTACAGTTGCATAGGAGAATTTGGCAGCATTTGATACCAATAGTAGTCTTATTAAACATATAAAAATTTAATTACATAGCTCGTATAATTTAGATTTTATTGATATCTGAAAAACCCAATTCAATGACTCACTGATGATTATTAAATACTTGGCACTTCCTGAAATTCTAGAAAGCTGAAATTTTGTATGTAAGCTAGTATTAGTACACAAAAAACAACAAAAAATTCAGAAACTTGTTATATATTATTATTGTCATAAGAAACTAACAAAAGAAGTGAAATCACATTAAAAACATTTTCATGTAAAATGTTGCCAAAACGAGACCACATGTTTCACTTTACAAACTCTACACGTTAGTAAAAATATGTCGTTTGACAGTTTGGCTACCGTTCCATGGGCGTAAAGTGACTGACATAAAATTCATTACTTTTCTGCTATACAAAAATTTTTGTAGTACAGAAACAGCCTAGCCACATATTTTGACTAAGTTGCAGAGTTTGTAAAGTTAGGGCTTGTAGAGTTAAGCCGTGCAGAGTTAGAAGTTTGGCTCTACATGAGATCTAATAACTTTATAACAGTGTGAGCGTATGGTCTCGTCTTGGCAACATTTTACATGAAAATGTTTTTGTGGCATTTTATAATTTTTTAACTGCAACTTTTAACTTTAAAAATATTAAAAATGATAAAATTTACAATTTCGTTTTATTGCAATAGTTCGCTTATTTAAATGAATCCAAATAAATGACTTAATGCGTTAACTCCTGTACTCCTAGATTTACGTTTGTTTCATACGTTAATAATTGGTTTGTTTCAATTAGGTTTCACTCAAAAAAAAGTTGTAAAAGCTGTGCAAAACAATCCATGACGAGTATTTACTTTAATTTTTTTCTGCATTTATTCAAATTTAAACATAATAGAACATAAAGAGTGAAGAAGCGTTAGAATAAAATAAAGTGGCTATATGATGAGTTTCGTACCTAGAAAACCGGAAACAAGTAGTCAAAATTAAAAACTATGTAAGTTTGCCTGCTAAACTAACATACGGAATCCCTCAAGGATCGATTCTCGGCCCCCTGTTGTTTTTATTTTATATTAATAATATAAACAATGTCAAAACATCAGGCACCATTACACTTTACGCAGATGACACCTGTCTCTTTTATTTTGGGCACAACCTAAGTGATATCGTGAAAGAAGCACAAAATAATTTAAATATTCTAAACAACTGGTTTCTATCTAATTTATTAACTATTGCTGCAAAAAAAAAGAAAATTGACAATCAAATTCAACTAACAATTAATAACGGAAATATTGCAAAATAAAATAGTGAAAGATACTTAGGCGTCATTTTAGACACAAAATTAACATGGAAACACCAAATTGCACATATAAAATTCAAAATATCTCCTGTTATTGGTGCACTACGTCGAATGTCCTTTTGCGTCCCTAATAAGGCTCGAGTAATGATCTATAACGCTCTAGTTATACCTTATATAGAATACCTAGTTGAGATATGGGGCACTGCTTCGAAATCGAATATCCAAGAAATTCAAGTCTTGCAAAATAAAGCAATAAAAACACTTTATAACTACGACTACCTAACACCAACACTTAAAATCTACAAAGATACCAAAAACCTAACAATTAAACTACTATACATACTTAAAACTTGTATACTAATACATAAAATTATAACACAAGGTACACATTAAAAATTAAACTTTAAAGAAAATATCCATACACAAAACGCAAGGAAAGGAAAAAGACTAAAAGTAACAAAGCCTAGAAGCGACTATGGTAAGAAAAGTATATTATATGAAGATGTAAAACTTAATAATGAAATACCTGATGATATTACTAAAAGTGATAGCTTTTAAATTGAAAAAAGAGCTTAAAATATTACTTTATCATAAAGTACTGACCCCAATAAATTTGTCTTCATATCTTTAATTTTATATTACTGTATAGTGTATTGTGATCACAGAGATACTCATCTAATTTATTTTGTGTTATTACAATTTCTCATTATGTAAGTAAACTGTATTGTTCTTTTTCCTGAGAAAGCAATGTGTTTAACCCGAGAGTTCCGTACCTCGAACGGAAAAAACGGAACATTTATAGGATCACTTTGTTGTCTGTCTGTCAAGACCGTTTATCTCGGGAACGTGTGGAGGAGGTATCAAGTTGAAATTTTAACTTCGGCATTTTAACTTCGACACGAATGGGCCGGCTCGACCGGAGTAATACAACGGCCTCATAGAAAACCGGTGTTAAACAATTCTTTCGTTGTCTTTCACTGAGTGAGTGAGGTGACCGGAGCCCAAATCCCCCCTCCCGCTGACTCGAATGTGAGGGACTTAAAGGGCATTAACGCACTTGTAACTATTGAGTTGCAGGTGTCAATGGGCGGCGTTAGTTGCTTACCATCAGGTGACCCGTCTGCTGGATTGCCCCCTTATACCATTAAAAAAAAATACATATTATTGGGTACTTCCAATTGACTTTAACTGTGTTTGGCAAGTAACATCGTCTTATAGTACAAGTACAGGGAAAAACCAAAAAAATATACGTGTTTAATTAAATCTAGTCTTTATTTAAAAAAGGTAAACTATTAATAATATGTACCTACAAATTCGTACGGAACCCTCGGTAGGCGAGTCCAACTCGCACTTGTCCGGATTTAAAAAAGTTCAAAATGTGAAGTAGAGATTTCCGTTTTGTCCAACAAGTAACCTTAAGCATAAAATAAAAGAAGACACATAAAAAGAATAAAATTAAAGATTTTGTCATTTTAATTAGAAATAGAGTAAGTGGTCCCATTCCTACAGAATTTCAAATTAAAATGCTCGCAGTCCTGTTGGTCTTTATATTTTTTTTTCCATTATTACCTTGACGAAGTATTCACCTATTAATTTTATGCCGTTCTTCTAATCAAAACATCGGATGAAACAATTTTACAGCAAATTACTGCGTGGCCTACTTGAAAATCGGTCACCCTAATAGATTGTCTCGGAATCGTTTTCTAACTAATAAGGTGACGGCAACCTGGAATCTTAAGATTAAATGTTTATTTTATTAAATAGTAGCAGCGAAAACAAGGGGAAAAATGACTTATCTTGGTGTTGCGAGTATGTTTTTGATTTTGTACCAAAGTAAGTATTGTTTTACATCAAGCTTAGACGTGCTTAAAGTTTTTTAAACATTTAAAACACTTGTTTCCTGGCTGTTATTACAAAAAAAAAAATTAATGGATAAAACTGTTGGTCTATTTTTACTTCTGTATAGCTTTTATTTCCTTGTCCGAAATATTGTTATTATTATTATTAAAAAGGGAAAATGTTTTAGCAATGATATGTATCACGGTGAGCTGGTTGGTACTTGGCTGCAAATTTGCGCCTGAAGAACTCGAACTCAGCCAAGTGACTTTGTTGAAGTTCCTGTATCTGTATGACCCTCAATCCTGCGGAAGGCTATATTTATACAACATCACCAACGTCAGTGACGACAGAGTACAAGGCAACATAGTATGGCCACTGCAGAATTCAGTTGCTGCTTCTTTTAGAAAGTTAGTATGTATAAGTGGTCCATTAGAAGGCAAATTTAAACTGTAATGTATTAAATAATTTATATCACACAAGTTTGGAAAGAAGATGAGAAAATAAGCCGTTAAAATAGGTTAAAATTCTGGTTCTGTTATCTAAATGGGACCCGTCAATTTTATTATAGACCCAGAGCGGAGGGGAACATGTATATTCCTTACAACGGAACGTACATGTGCATCTTCCAAGGGGTCAGTAACAAGCATCAGCTGGGTCTGGCCAAATATAGACATATAGGTTAAAAGCAGACATAAATATTTTTTTTTACTAAAATCAAAGTAAATTTTAATTAATTATGTTAATGTGAGAAGCCGAAAGTCGATCTAAGTGGCTTGCAATGGGAAAGGCCAATGTCCAGTTGTAGACTGCGATAGGCTGATGATGATGATGATGAAATTATTATTTTTTACCATGCCGTAGAGGCGGAAAATTATGAGTGGTTAGAACTATTATTTGCCACCCTGACCTACTCTGATGCTATGCTTTTTTTTGTTGACAGAATATGACTAAACTTCGCCACTGGTGTGGGATCCTTCATAACGTTATTACATTTTAGTTATAGAATATGAATGTTTTATAAACCGTAACCTGCCTTTATTTTTCCAGCAAAATTCAGATTTGGTTGGTGCTACACTTACTGTGGTTACTTTTTGCGATCATAAATATGACTCAAGGCGAGAGGTCCTGCAGTTTTTATGCTACCCTTTTGCCATTCACACTCATTGGCCTGTCACTGCTGGTGGTGGACGTGGTGTTCGCTTCTATATTCATTACAGAGGCTACACATACTGGGTCGGAAGGTTAATTTACTTTTTATTTTGGAGTCGTTTAAAATTTTGAATTCACGAACAAAGTGAATACTAGCTCATATTGTGAATTCAAGTCACATTCAATAAATTGGTTTAATGTTGAAATATTGGTCTTAATAAAACTAGATCAAATACTCAGCGATTTGGAAATACGCTCAAATTTAGTGTCAGGTAATTTTAAATTTTAATTTTTTAAATAATTTAGCTATTTTATTAAAATTTGATTTTACTAGTAACTTAATTCACGTAATATATATGGTTTCCCTCTGCATTCTCTATCGCATATATCATGGAGAGTGCTCCGAGGAGTTGTTCGGACTAATACCAGCCGCCACGTTCCGTCATTGTTCCACACGGCAAAATTTTCACCCTCATCACCCTGGATACATGGCGCTCCACTACTGTGCGCTTTTCGAGACACTTTTTGCCCCGCACAACCAATGTGTGGAACGGGTTATCGTCTGCGGTATTTCCGGACCAATACGACCTTCAAACCTTCAAGAAAAGAGCGTACTCCTTCCTGGCTGGCAACGCGTTTGTGACTCCTGAGTTGCAGACGTTCATGGGCGGCGATGGTCACTTTCCATCAGGTCCCCCCGTCTGCCCCTCTAACATAAAAAAAATATGTAACACATACAGCACTCATACAAGGGTGTAAGTGTTTACAAAAAATGGCAAAAATTATATTTTCTAAAAGAAAATACTCAAGCAGTATGCGGAATCGTTTGCATAACTTAACATCTGCAAAGTGAATCTTTAATAAATTAAATAAAATGTTCAAAATTTTACTTGCAATAGTTTTTTATGTAGTTTCAATTTAATTTACTTATTTTTTAATGCTCTTTTACAATCGGTCGCCAATCCTCTATGTCAATAAAAAACTTACTAAATTAAAATGTTGTTCTGAGTCTGGGTGTTCTTTGTGTCCGTTTCATGTATGTTTGTAAAGTCTCCCGCTACACAGGATATATTCCTAATGCGGGAGTTGTCTTTAAAAAAAAAAGAAAAGATAATAATTTACTCGTCTCATTCTCAAAATCACCGCCAACATAATAATATTCTGATGTGTTGATGATGAAACAATAAGCACAGATCTCTAGATATCAAGTTAAAATCTATACAAACAACTTGATACGCTCACAGTGATAATCGTCAACCGTGTTTACTTAGTTCAAACCATGGGACAATTCCTCAACAGAACCCATTCATCAAATAACCGTTTGATTCAATTATGGCTAGCACTTAGCTCCGTCAGCCATCCATTATGCCACAAACCAATTTCGTGAAACTATAACAAATGTAGGTCAATTGGTGCACTATGAGCTCCACAGAAGAGTTAGAAAACTTTCATCACAGTATCAAACAGTAGCTCTTTGAAAATTGGTGATCAATAAATTTATTTACAGAATCAGAATAAGGACTTGGTTACATTTTGTATATGTTTTTTCATCTTATTGTCATTAGATTCTTATTTAAAGTTAGTTACTAAAGCTAACATAAAACTAGTATATGACTATTCTAAAATGTGCAAGAGTGAAACCCCACATGGGACTACACTTTGTGTGATCCTCAAATTGTTGTTCTGAGTCTGGGTGTACTTTGTGTCCGTTTCATGTATGTTTGTAAAGTCCCCCGCGACACATTATTTATTCTTCCTAGTGCGGGAGTTGTCTTTTTTAAAGAAAGAAAGAAAGTGAATATAAAAAGGTAAAATCAAAATATAATAAATAATTTTGCAAACGGCCTGAGCTAGGTGTGAGACCTGTGTTTCAGGCAATCGCTTGACTATGTTCGTTACAGGACGTTAGTATGTAAGTGTTCTAGTAGATTAATAATGTAAATTACTTGAAACTGGTTTATATACGCAAATATATATTACTCATTGTTTAATAACCTAATTATAGTTAAAATTATATCATTAAGCTTAACTACATATTGGTGGTGACGTGTCGACATATACATATATTGAGGTAAAATATTAATTTATATTACTAAAATTAAACATTTAAAAATATAATTTAAGTCTTAAAATTAAACTCCAAACGAAAATAAGTTTTTACCTCATTTTATTTTATAAATTTAGAATAATTTTTTCATGACTGACAGCAACCGAAATTCCTAGTATTTCCGTTATCTAATCCCGCTAAGCTAAATTGCTTTTATTAGGACTGGGTTCACGTCGTTAGTGTACTGGTCAGTATTCGAACCCACGCAATCGATCGCAATTCCAAGTCCAATGCCTTAACCACTAGTCTACCGCCGCGATTATTTGAACCGGCAACGCTTATTTTCAGGTGCAATTCTCAAATATATGTCTCAGACGGGCCACCTCCGCGCTATAAATGAGCGCCCTCTAGCTCCAAGACGTAAGAAACCAATAGATACATCTTGGATGGCCTTGCTTTTAGCCTTTATGAGTCTCCGAGGTATTGTCCAATGGATTGTCAACTTCTGGATCGTGCAGGACAATTACGTCGAAGGCGTAAAGCGCTACAGTAAGTATATTATTAAATAAATTACGGTGGCTTGTATAAGCCTTGATTTAAATTATAATGAATAAAGATAAAAAAAAGATTTCCTATTTTTAAATTTTGATAGTGCGCTGACAGCTATTTGCCTCCCAGAGATTCTTCGCACCCCTGGCCAGGCCGGTACCCACGGTGCTGTCCTTGTTGGGTTCTGTCTGTCCGCTGGGAACTCGGGGCCTTGGCTTATTTCGTATCATCATTAGGATTAAAACTAGGATTAGGATTAACTCACTCGCTTGCCTAGGACTTCTTAGTGAGTGAAGAGTAATCCATCTAACTAGGATTCTGGGCGCTACCGTTGGCCATATGTGTGGCTCATCCGCTACCAACTCTAAGTGATTCCGCCTCTCCTGTGGATCACTAAACCAATAAACTAGAGACCACTCTTGGTGTAAAAGAGTGTTGGAATGGAGACCATGGGACCAGAAAAGACCTAGAGGGCGACCACAGATGAGATGGAAGGATGACATCAAAAAAGTGGCGGGCAGCAACTGGACCCGAATTGCCCAAGACAGAGGAACGTGGAGAGGATTAAAGGAGGCCTACACCAAATATTTGGTCGATTAAGGCTAAAGAAGAAGAAGAAGACATGACACTCTGTAGATCAATTTTGTACATTTAAATAAACTTAACGTATGTATTTGTAACTAGTTTATGACAACAGCTTCGCTTACGTAGTAACTATTTTTCTATCGTTGCTCTGGACCAAACAGTTTGTACGTGGAGAGACAGGATTTTGCAAGTCCTAATTTTAGGTTTATCGCTCTTAAGCCATGAAAAGCCATTATCTTAAGACCGTTACTAGCTCGTAGCCTTTTTTTTTTTGTACGGGAAACCCTACAGGCCGTCACTCGCTGCCGGGGTTTTCAGTAAACTAAAACCTTTCGTTGTGTCATGCTCCCTAAAATAGGAGCGATCCGGCTACGTCTTTTAATTTTATGACTCCATTGTTAACTCATGATTCTGCCAACATCAAGGTGTAAGGCTCACATATATTTAATACTTAATATTTTAAATTCAATTGCCTTAAACTAATTGTTTCAACTAAGGTTTCTGCTGTTAAATATTTCTTTTCCATATCTCAATCCGTTTAAATATAATTTACATACCTTTTTCAGGATATCAACAGTCTATATTAGGACCTAAGGCAAAGTCGCCAAACGATTTTCTTCTAAATGACGTATAAGTTTAGACAGCATCAGAAGTTTTGCATCATGGTACCAATTATACCTTTAAATATTTATATTGCCAAATAAAAATGAGCATAAGTATGCTTATCTCAGTAATACTTTGTAGTTTCTTTCTGCTAATAGTAAATCAACGAATCAAAAGTATTCGTTTGCTTACTATACCATAACAAACCTACCGTTTCGATAATCAGATTCACCTTCTGATCATCGAACATTTTTAACATCAAAGAACAGTCTAAAAGCAGTCGGTATTCCGTCAGGTGCGAAAACACTGTATATGCACCTAAACTTTCCCAGCAAGAAATTCTGTGAAAACTTTGGATAGAAATCAACCATACTTTAATACAATGATCAATCACTAACAGCCTTTAATGGTCTACTGCTGGGCATAAGGTTTGTGTCAAGTTTTCCTTTCCTTTGCAGTGCTGTTGTCCTGCGTAGTTTGCTCCCTTAGTCGGCTCTTACGACACCCACAGGATGAATAGTTGTGGTGACAATCTTAATTCGTCACTACACGGATAATGCCATGCGGCATTAAGTCATGCAATGCAGGAAGTTTTAAATATATAAAAAAAACTGATTGTATGCTATATTTACAACTGGTCTATTAGTCCTTAGATCCTGAGATCCCTTACCACTTAACTGACAGGCCAGTTAGAATCGAGATTGTACTCGAAAATAGAGATCAGGAAATCGACCGTATGACCATGTTAGGAGTCGTTCTAACATGTTCATAGGTTCTATTCCCACTATGATGATTTCAATCTTTGTTCTGTATCTTTGTGTAATTTATCTCTATTATTTATGCATTTAGAAATTTACATATAAGTGCGTTTATGGGCAAATCGGTTGCCAAAGCACAGGCTCTACTTAATTTGTAATAAGACGGCTGTGTGAGATATGTTAAGTTTTTATTATTTAGATATAACCAGAATCACATCCATCCAAATTACGACCGAATTACGATTTACATAGGTTCTATATTTATACTATATATAAGACCTATATAGGTCGTAATATGAATTTGTAATATGAGTATGAAAGAGACAAATATAGCATACGTTTCACTAAACCATTAACTGTAAGAAAAGCAACAAATTTGTTTAATACAAAGAACGACTTTGAAGCGAAATTACGAGCAAATGAAAACTGCAAACGAATGAGGGTGTCGCAATTAAATCTACCCGTTATAAGTGACATAATTAAAGCTGAAATCCAAACCGGCCATCGTTAATGATCCGCAGATTCCCTTAGTAAGCCACTATACATAATATTGTACGTTTTTAATTTATTTCGCTAGAAAATGTAGATGCTTATCAGAGTAGTGGAATAATTTTGGGTGAAATTATTTTTAAGAAAAATTTACACAACATTTTTTAGATCAAAGTTAGTTTATCATTCCCAGGGGACAGGATTTTTCTTGGATAGAAGGTATCCTTCATTAACCAAGGTTTGCAAAAAAATATGATGAACTAGTTTTTGCCCGTGGCTCCGCCCTCAGGTATGTAATTCAAGAATCAAAACCACCATAACAAATTTCATCTAAATCTGTTGAGCGATTATTGATTCCCCATACAAACTTCCATCCCCTTTTTAGCCCCTAAAGAATGATTGCTTGGATTACAATAATTATATACCGGTGACTCAAACTCGGATCACTATACCAAAATTCATCTAAATCGGCTCATAGGTTTAAGCGTGAAGAGGTAACAGACAGACAGATAAAAAGACACACTTTTGCATTTATAATATTAAGTATGAATGGTTTAGAAGTAATTAGTTAAAAGCGTAACCAACAAACATACATTCAAATACAACTTAACTGTGTGTTTATACATGTGCTTTGCAAGCCAACTTTGCACTGAGTTGTAATTGCATATAAAGTACGTAAATACGAAAGAAAAGATTTTTCAATTCAATCGCTTGCAAATATTCTGGAAAATAAATCATCATTTCTTGTAGAATTGATTTTTCTTGGAAATAAGTTCATAAGCACTTTAGATACCACGGTTGACATTTGCGCAATGTAAAGCTTTAAAGATAGATAGGTTTCCATCAGCTGTAGAGATTTTCTGTAAAGGGGAGTCTGCTCCCTTGTTTTGCCATCCATAGCCATTTGTTTTTATCTCAGTTTAGCACTTTATGACAACAACTATTGGTCTTAATCGATCGATTTGATTATGGAATCTACTAAGTTATCATAAGTAAAACAATTTGTGTTATCGTCTTTTAGCACAAAGGCAGGATGCATAGACCAAAATAGGTCTGCAACTATCGTCAAACTTCAATATATTAGGTAGTATCAGAAGAGCACATTAAAAATTACGTAGAATACATTTAAGTTTATTAAAGACAAAAAATGAACTATCACAATTACATAAGCAATTAATCACTCTTTAGGGATACAGATCAGGGTCTGAAGACTAAAAGAGGCGCTGGATTGCGCAACTGAAGTCTGGCAGTATACTTCATATTTTGTGTATCATTTTCCGTCACAAATTCTACTTTCTGTAGCTGGCCATTAGGAAGTAGCACAAAGTATGTTCCAATACTTTTCTGAACTTCCACAGGTCCTTCTAATCTTTCAGCTTGAGGATTATCAGTTGATGGAGCGTCAGTGCTGTCGGGAGCACCATAGGTATTAGCAGGGGCTCCGTAGGTATTAGCAGGGGCTCCATAGGTGTTATCGGGAGCACCATAGCTGTTCGCTGGATCTTCTTTTGGTAGCTCAAACGCTTGTCCTTGTGGCTTCCATCCAGATGGAGGGTATGGGGCATCCGGAGGTCCATATTGATCAGCCGGTTGTTTCTCTTCGTTTGGCAGTGTGAAAGGCTCTCCTGCAGGTTTCCAGCCAGATGCAGGATAAGGTCCTGATATTTCAGTAGTAGTAGCCTCAGTTGGAGAGTCAGTGGTTGTCGGAGCCAGTTCTATGCGTTGGAACCTGAACCTCGCTGGTCGGAAGCGAGGTGGTTCAGCCAGAACTGCGATCACAACACAAGATAGGACTAAGAACTTCATGTTTGATGGTAGACGGTTGAATGATGCTGTTCATCAAATTTTGATTAATTTATACGACAGCGAAGAGTTTATGATGCTTTGTTTTATCGCAAATGGTATCATAAGGACGTTGTGATGAGGATATTTGGCATTTTGTAGTCAGGTCACGTAGCGAGTAACGACATTGACATGATACGGTTCAAAGACTTCATGATAATTAGGTGACGTGTAATTAATTAATGGAACAAATTAGTTATAAAATGTGCGCTCCTCTATTGTTTAGTACACATATGTACATATGACGTTTCAATGCTGTGAACGTGACGTGTTCAATGAAATTTGTAGACATCATTCACGAATAAAATAATTATTTCTGTTATTGTCATAATCATTATAATTCTAAAAAACAGAAATTCTGATTTAGATCTCAAAGTGACGATCTTTGGAAGTGTTTGGATGTGTTATCTGATACCTCATACCAGTTTGTTTTTTTTTTAAGTTAATTAGTTTCTAGGTTTGTCTAGTACATCATTGGTATTCTATCAGGCAAGTCTGGTGTAATATATTTATTTCAGGTGTATATATCATATTTGTTTTAGTGTCAAAATAACTTATGATAGCAAACAGTAAAATGGATGTTTTAGTGATTCGACGTTTATGCGTATTTGGAGGAGAAGATACGATAAAAAAAGTGATAAAAGTTGAGTGTATTTAATGTTTTAATTTAATTTATTTATGGCATATAAGCTCCGTTAACCTCACTCAAGTAAATCGTGGATTGTAAACGACACCACTAGACGACGCCACTCTAGCGTCGTTTACAATTTTTTTTATTAATTTTAATAAAATTCTAATACAAAACTTATGCATTTATCGATATAAATTATTTTTCATTCGTAAGATTACGAACATGACCATCTCTTCTTTCTAAGGAGAGGCCTATGTCCAGCAGTGGACAAGTTAAGGCTGTTGATGATGATGATGGTTGATGAATCTCATAAGGATGCATTCCATTTTTTCATGCATTCATACAGACAACGGAACTTTTAAAAAAAATGACAGCAAATCAACCGCGATTGCTGCTAGGTTTTTAGTACTCTTTGTTAGTACTTTTAGAAGTCGGTTCAAATTAAAAAAAAGGGATTCATTCTTGTTTTGTTCAATATCTTTTTGTATGCGTCAAGTGAAAAGTAAATAGTTTTCTTTCTTTGTAAATAATTATTTCGTTACATTTCACCTAGTGAGTGAGTGCACCGGAGACCAACTCCTCCTCCTCTAATTCTGGTGTGAGTACTTAAAGACCGGCAACGCACTTGTGACTGTTAAGTTTCAGGTGGACATGGGCTGCGGTAGTCTACCTAGTAACCTGTCTGCTCGTTTGCCCATATTATGAAATATATATACATGTTCAAAAAGTTCTTCACCGATTGAGCTCAAATTATGTCACGATATTCAACCTGCTTCAAAGATTGTATTTTTGTTCCCATTTTCTTTTCTGTTTTATTAATGATTTCACATTAATTCAACCATAATGTGCCACAGCAAAGCAGGATACAGTTAGTTGCACCAGGGACTTCCTTTCTCACCAGGGACTTCCTTTCTCACCAGGGACTTCCTTTCTCACCAGGGACTTCCTTTCTCACCAGGGACTTCCTTTCTAGGGTATACCTGGTTCCCCGGCTATTAGTACCCGAGACGGCGTGCGGTTTTAGTCGGTTCGAGTCCGACATGCCACCGATAGGTGGTATCCGAGGGGATTGCCGCACGGAAAAAAAAAAAGGATACAGTTAGTTAAAAATAAATGAATAGTGTACTATTTATTTTATTTGGTATGATAATAATAAATTGAGACTTTCATCGCTAAAGTTTGCCACAAGTCTCGTATCCAGGACTAAAAATAAAGTACTCGTACCTCCGAGTCCGGGGCCGCGAGGTCATGTACCGTATGCCTCCGTAATTGGAGAAACGACTAGGACTCAGAACATCGACTCTCCGGGAAGATTTTATTATTAATTGTAACTTATTATTACAGAACCTATTATTTAAAAGATAATATAACTCGTTAAATGAACGTCATGCTACTTTAAACTTTGATGCCTACGGAAAACCATATACCTATAGTATTTGCCGCAGTTTCCATAAAAGAAATACTTCCTACCTCATAACTTCCATCTTAATATTAAAGGTCAGTCCATCAGTTACAAGGATACAAAACACGTAGTTGGATCTGATACCATCACACCTTGGGGTTTCTGTTTTTGTCAATCCCAAATTAATTTTCCTCTATGATTACCATTTATGAGTACATATATAATTAAAACTACTATCCGGCTTTGGGACTCATTTGATTCTCTAATAATTAATTTCATAGTAACAACAATCTGCATCTTCTGCACTTTTCCCGATTAGGTATATATAATATAATAATATATATAATATATTCTACCACATACACACAACGCCATCTAGTCCCAAACTAAGAAGAGCTTGTACTATGGGTACTAGACAACTGATTTAAATACATATATACTTTTTTTTTTGTAAATACATACATATTATACATAGAAACACCCAGACCAAATCAAACATCAAATGTTCATGCACACAAATGTTTGACTTGAGCGGGAATCGAATCCGCGACCTCTGGAATAGCAGTCCGTTACACTATCCATCCAGTCGTCGGTATAGATGGTGTGTGTGCCGTGTGAAACTTTGCAAGGAATCGACCGGCCAGTTGGCCTAGTTTTTAGTGATGCTAAGCTAGAGGTCCTGGGTTAGATTCACATCCAGAACACATAATTGTGTGATGAGCACGGTTATTTGGTGCAACAGGTGTCTGGGCGTAATTTACCTATAATATGTATGTATTTAGAAATATACAAGTATGTTTATCAGCAATATGGTTACCATAGTACAGGCTCTGCCTAGTTTAGGATCAGACGGCCGTGTGTGAATGTGTGAGGTTATTTTCATTATAATTTTTTCTAGTTTCTTTTATGCCCAATGCGTCTCTGGTCCTCCTTAAAAAAGTAATTCTTTACAAATAGGTTAAATGAACACCGTAATTAGGGGTAAAGAAAATGTATATAGCTGTGAGATGGACAGGATAAACATAAGACATGAATCAACTATAGTTAAACCGCCGTAAGCTTGGCCCTCCTGATTATTTTGCAACATGGATAATCTGCCGCCTCTGCGTCACAAAAAGATTTAAAAACTTGAAGTTCGGCTTACAGAGGTTCTACTCGTACTGTTAAAGTTCTAATAAAGAATATTTATTATTTCACTTAATTTTTAAATTGTATCTGAATATAATTTACATGATGAAGATAAGGTGATTTTATTAAAATTATTTTACAGTATTAAATTTTACAATTAATCATAAAAACTTACAATACACTGACATTATAATACATGGAAATAAATTCGCTTTTTATTACATCGTGTGTAGATTAAATCTCAAACAAATAAATCTGAAGATATCGAGTTAGTACAACGTGTCATGTATAGGCGAGCGCATCACCCGCCCCGCGTCCCGCAAGCCATCAGGAGGGCCAAGCTTACGGCGGTTTAACTATAGTATTCTACACGTCCTATTTTTTTAAAGGAAGCTGCCAGAAGCTGGAATAAATTTATTCTGAGGTCTCGCAGTAGTGTAGGCCTAGCAGTTTAACTATTAAACACGTAGCCAGCTCCTCCTA